GATTAAAACATATAAATATTGATTATAGTGAAACCTACTTGATGATCCAACCGAGATCCATCAAATGGGACTCCCAGTCTTTGCTGTAGATTTCTCAGCCTTGCTTCCTATGAGAACACAATATGGAAACATCAATACACAACGAATTAGTAATAATAAAGTCAACATGATGGTCAGTGACAACAAGGTCTTTTGCTCTTTTCAAAGACAAACACAAAATAACCTAAGCACATAAAACTTGTGCTATTTTCCGACTCGACTCTTTTGCAATAAAATCTACAAGAAAGGATCTTCCTACCCGTGAGTTCCAAATATTACGAAGCAGATTCTTAGAATAAACTTAAAAACTCAAACGAATTTCTCTTTCAGCCCCAATGACACTTGTCAGTTTCCCTATGACTAGAGCTAATATGTCGTATTACGGCCATGGGCACATAAGCAGAAGCTTCAAGACCTTAGGATATAAACTGATAAATCCTAGCTGAACGAACCCCTCTTGGATACATAAAAGAGGGGACAAGATTCCTTACCTCTTCCCACTACAGGAACAGATGACCGAAATGAAAAATAAGATTAAAAACAAAACAAATAACAGAGGGGGAAAAACATATGTTGATTATTAGAGATGTACCTATATAAATGCCCCTCCCAACCCCCAAAACAAAAAGCTTATTCAGATCCAGAGATTTACAATGAAAAAAGTGAAATGCTGATAATACCTGTAAAGGACTAAGAGTAGGCGCGATAAGTTTCTGGTTTGATCCATTCTGGGTGTTAGAATGAAGAGGTAAAAATTGTGCAATAAATGATCCAGATCCAAAGACAATGTTTGCTGGAAAAAAGCCAAAGATTCAACTATCAGTAACCCAAACTGCTATAATGTTAAAAGAATGGAAAGAAGCAAAAAATCATGTGATGAGTAAACAACACCAATGAGTAAAACAGATAGTGTGGGGAAGGGGGGGCAAGTGTTTCTATAAATTACACTGATAGAAAGATGTCCCAAAGACAGTACTTTTTATTGTATGAATCTTTGGCACATGCATAGAGAATGTGATGTACTGGGAGGACTCCAGACACATGTTAAATGCTTCCCAATAATATAATTAAATTCAAATTAGACTCAAAACATAACCAAATAATATGGATGCCACTCTACTAAACCAAAATACTCAACAAAATACAGATAACAATGGAACGAAGATTGGTTCATCTACCTCCTCCCTGCTCTTGAATGAATATTGAAAAATATCCACTTCCATGTATCTGTGCTTCATACACATACACCTCACTTTTTTACTAATGATATTTAATTTAATATTACAAAGAACATATATTACAATTATTCATGATCATGATTTCCATATAAAATCGTATTTAATATATATAATATAAAACACACAGATATATAATGCATATATTATGATTTTAGTATATATCCAGTATATCTCTATTAAAGAATGAACAAAACATAGAATATTTTAAGGGGTAAAATAAAAATTTAAAAGGAGAGGCCTGATAAAGTGGAGCAAGTATAATATACCAAAACCACCAACCTACAAATTCCTTTTCTTTTTTTATCTCAAAACCATTTGGAGCCGATTGGTGTGAAATCCATAGGCAGAAACAGAGTTAAAAACCAGAAACCAAAGTAGTAGTTGACTAGTTTAATGGTCTAACTTTCGAAGTTAAACGCAATTATATGTATTATAAACAACAGAACACACATATGTAAGTAAGAAACCACAATGATAATACCACACCTATCCACTGTGCCCATTGCGCGATCAAGTTCGAGAACAAAAGTGTCCAATGCAACTGTTCCTTCTTTTGTTCGTCATCCCAAATTTCCTCTGTCATCTTCCCCTATATCAAATCAAACTAAACATTTACAATACTCTATCCCTTCTCTTCCAAACAGGTATAATTGGCAAAAATAACGAAATAATCACCTCAGAATGTTTGTCATCATAATCATGATTCCCTAACAAAGGTTCATCTAAACCATCCAGTCCTGATGTCTCATAATTTTCATTCTTTCTATCGCCAACATCCCCATGATGAAGCCGCCTTCTCACAGTGCTGGACCTAATTAATTACAGGCAAAAATTTGCACTAAATTCTTCTTCAATCCTGAAAATATTTTTAAAAGGCAACAAAGGGGGAAAAATAATATCAAAATCCTCAAAACTGAAATAATAGATTAAACAATAAGTAGCCCTAAATCCAATCAGCAAAAAAATTATTTTCAAATTTTCCAATTAGCTACAAATCTGGATCTCAAAACTGCTGTAAAGAGAGGGGAAACAAGTAACCAGAATTTAAAATGATACGAAACATCCAAATTAGCCAAGAAAAATCTAATAAAAAGGGCAGATTTGGTTTAAAATTTGAATCCCAAATAAACAAAGTAAAAAGAAAACAAAAACCACAGCGAAAAAAACGATTTCGTTACTTTTCCAGAAATAAAAAGTAATGAACCAAAAGAAAACTAAAATCAAAGGAAAATAAATAAAGAAAGCTAACCCGAATGCTGAAGAGAGCTGCTGAAACCGAATCTACAGAAGGCTTAATGTATAGGAGGAAAACCTGGACGCTAAGCAAAGCACAAAAATATTAAAAAAACGAATTGAGTTGAGTTGAATCTTTGCTTACTAATTAAGAGAGTGTTAAGAAATCGGATGTTAAGCTTTGGAGATTTATTGTCCCATTTTTTCTCCTTCCTGGATTTGTTATTTTTTCTAAATCCATTGGGTTCCGAGAAAAATGAATAAATAAAATATGAAATGCAAACACTGACTTCCTAAATAAATACAGATTTTTTAAAAACAATAAAATCTTAAAAAAATTGAACTAATAATAATAATAACTGATAATAGAATTTCTTTCTCTTTGATTAATCTAAAATGATTACAATCGAAAGATTCTTAAAAATTTCACAACAAACGTTTGTATTTGAAATAAGACATTTAATAATAACGACTATTCTTTTAACTACTGAAATCTTTAGTTCATAGTTTTAATTAAATATATTAATTTAACAAGTATGTGTAATTGTTTTTAAAATATAATTTTAAATAAATATGAACATTAAAATTTTGACGGAAATCTTTAATAAACCATCTTTAATAATTTTAGTTTTACTTGTGTGCATATACATCTAATTATATATTATAATTTTAAATAGATTTTAAATTTAACATAAAAATATATTCATGTTAATCATTATATGTATATAATAACATTTTTAAATGTGAATATATATATTATTAAATAGTTTAATACATAAAAATTTGGATAAACTACACTACTAAATTATAGTCAAAAATTATTTTAACCATCAACACATTTTAAACATCTCAATTAGACCACCAGTTGTTAATTGAAGGAATTGTTGCGGGGAAGATTCGAACCAAGGTCAATAGGATGGTGATCTCAGGTACAAACCACTCGGACAACAAAAATTCTTGGCATGTATTTACAATATTTTTATATATTTTGTTATTCTTAATGAGAAAAAAATGAAGTCAAAATGAAAATAGAATGTTTCAAACTGAAACTTTTCCACTGGTCAAAACATATATTAAAAGCATAAATACAACATTGTTTTATATGTTATTGATTTTTATTAATGAGTGTAATTTACTCTAATATTTAATATAAATTTTGCATTTATTTTTGTTATTATACATAATATTTATTCTTTTAAAATATGAAAATAATTTTATACTGTTTTTAATAATTTGAATTAGATTATGAGTTTTAAATTTTTTAATAATATTTTTATTAAAAACAAAATTGTTGTAATCTAACTATAAATTTTAAAAAATATATATTAAAAAAACATATTCTTTTTGGTATGATGTTTAAAATTATCACAAAAAATGTATATATATTTTAAAGATTATCATATTCTTTTTAAGATTTTTTTTATTTAAAACAAAAATGTTATAATCAAATAAAAAATTTAAAATTAATAACAAAAATAAATACAAAATTTATATTAAAAACATAATATTAAAAAGCTGTAATCTAACATATTTTTTTTCAAAGATTATCTAACTAAATTAATAACTAAAAGTTTTCTAACTAAAAATTAATCATATATAGAACAATATTAGCATTTTAATTTCATATGTTTCTTTCATTAACTGTAACAGAATATATAAAACATATTATAACTTCGTAGCAAGAATTGGAGGTGGTTGAGTGGTTTAGGCGCGAATCAGTTCTCCTCTTAGCCTTGGATCGTAACCACACAGCAACATTTTATTTTCTCCAACTGAATAATGGCACATGTCATAATGTAATTGGATGTTAAATTTATTTAATTTAATTTAAATGATGACTAAATTAATAGAATGTGTAAATATTGAGGATCAAATATACAATTATGTCAATTTTATTAACTGACACATCACCCTCCGTTAAAAATTAAAGTTCGGTGGTTTGATTCAAGCATTTAAATAGTAGTGGTCTGATTGAAAATTTTGAAACGTTGGTGGTCAAAATGATTTTTGACCATAGTTTGGTGGTCTCTCGTGTAATTTACCCTAAAAATTTTAGTTTATTGGTTGATTATTCAGGTTAATCAATTTAATTTCAGATAATCATGTTTTTAAAATTTAATTTTTCTTAAAGAAATTAATTTGTTCACTTTTAGCATCTGTTTGTCGGTATCAAAACAGAACCCCCGGGCATGACAAATCATGTGAGAAGGAATATCAAAAGGAGAAGCTGGAAATCCATTGCACCATAATTCATCACTTTTACAAACAGAATACAATAATTTATAAAAAAAAATATTTCAAGGACCACAATCAACTCTAAACCTCAAACTGGCTAACATGGAGAAAGAAAAGAAATCAAACCAAAACTCATTCTTGAAGAACTCAATCAATCATTCAAAAACTCAACGAAAGAAGACCAGACTAGGAAACCCAAAAACTCACTGGAATGGAAAGGGGGAAAACATTTTCAAAAGATAACTGGAAACGCCAAACTATATTTTGTTGTTTTCATTCCGAATCACTTGAACTCGAGCTGGAACTAGAACTTGAGTTGTGGGATTTTGTCTTTTTACCTTTAAGTTTCAGATTCGACTTTTCAGATGATTCTTCATGTTCCTGTGTTGGGTTACCAGCAGCATTCTCAGGCATTCTCAGTATGTTTCCAAGAGACTGCATTTTCACCAACTTCAACCTCTTTAATTGAAACCCCATCATGCTTCTTGGAAGAGTGCGGTAGCTTAGCCGGATTAGATTTGAGGCCTTGTTGGTAAAAGCTATGTATATCCTCCAGGGATCTTGCCTCGACAACAGGTGATATTGAACCGATATCGGTATGAACCTGTAGGTTCCCAATCATACTTGGAAGAATGACTTCCTCCACACCTAGTCCTTCATGAAGTTGTTTAAAAGCCAAATCAATGTCTTCCATTGATTTTGCTTCGAGAACAGGTAGTGCCACCTTAGTCTCCGTCTCTATTTCTTCCATATCCTTGTATTCATTTTTTGGTTCACCAGCAGCATGTTCACTTGTTCCTTGAATACCAGAGACGGCATTACTACAATCAATCTCTTTAATAGGAACCACGCCATGATCTGCCACCTTGGTCTCCGTCTCTATTTCTTCCATATCCTCGTATTCATTTTTTGGTTCACCAGCAGCATGTTCGCATGTTCCTTGAATACCAGAGACGGCATTACCACCATCAATCTCTTTAATAGGAACCACACCATGATCTGCTCCAGATGAACGTGGCATCTCACCTAGATTAGATTCGGGGAATTGTTGAAAAGTGTTATGTAGGTCCTCCAGAGATCTCGCATCAACAACAGGGAAATCCGAAATGGTATCTGCACCACCCTGTTGATTCATAATCATACTTGGAAGAATTACTTCCTCAACATCAATTCCTTCATGAAGTTGCCTAAAAACCAAATCATCGTCTTCCACTAATCTTGCTTCAAGAACAGGCAGCTCCGCATTGACCTTAGTCTCTATTTCTTTGTATTCATTTTTTTGTTCAGCAGCAGCATTATCATGAATTTCTTGAAAACCAAAAACCGGCTTACCAACTTCAATCTCTTTAGTAGAAACCTCACAACTTTCTTCAATACCAGAGAAGACATTACTAACTTCGATCTCTTTGTAAGAAAGTACATCACAATGCTCTACTTCAGATGATCCGTTCCTCAAGTCCGTAGAATGTGGCAGCTGATCTGGATTAGGTACTGGACCTTGTTGCAAAGCATTATTTACATCCTCCAGAGATCTAACCTCAACAATGGTTAAATCTGACTTGGTATCTCCATGATCTGGCAGATTCTCAATCATATTTGGAAGAAATACTTCCTCAACATCCATTCCATGAAATTGCTTAAAAGCCAAATCAAGATCTTCTACTGATCTTGCTTCAAGAACAGGCAGTTCCACATTGGTTTCGTTTTTTATCCCTGTATCTTCTGGTACCATTGCAGATTCAGTATAGGTAACACGAGATCCCTCTGGTAAAACCATTTCCCCAACAATGAAGTCCCCAACAGTGTCCAATTCAGAGAGTATAGCTTCATCAATTTCTTTAATCTCATTGACTTCACTATTATTTTCTTCAACAACACGAGGGGCATATACTTCCACATAACTAAAGTGTTCATTGGGGCCCTCCCTTTCAATTTCTTTTAAGATCTTCTCCCTCAAATCTTCTTGATCTGTTGGCAACGTATGTTCGGGACTCTCAGAAGGCAAAGAAGTAGATTCTGAAGTCATGGAAGAGAAATTTATTGAATGTTTGTCCTCAGAATCTTGATCTTCATGCATATTAAAGTAATTGTTGACATCATTTGCTTCCCTTCTAGACTCGATTGCAATTATAGAATAATTCACCTCCTGAGAAAATTCAAATATATCAAAGGAAATTTGCACATACATAATGCAGCGAATCATCTAAAATGCAGTATTTAAGTATACATGCAGTGACAACATTTCCGACAATTCCAGTGAAAAATTAATTCAGTAATAGGAGTTTCACATAATCCATGATGAGATAATTCAACATCATTATTTGACACAAACATGGTATTGTTGTTTTCAAATTAGCTCTTTCTTCTTCTGGTACATACAGTATTAAAGATTATTTTTGTACAGCCATCAATCCCGTACTAAAAATGAAGTGGTGAAGAAGAAGAATAGAACAGATGATCATTTCACTTCCTCCGGAATCTAAGCTAGCAATGAGAAAAATCACAACAGAAGGGTCTTATCCAAGGAGACCAACATAAGCACTAGTATTGAATAAATTGAAAAAAAATTATTGAAGACAAAATATACAAAACAATTGATAATATTATTCTCCAAAGAAGTATGACAATTAGGTGAAGGAAATTTAAACAAATATAAGTGATTGAATAACTTACCTCAAGCTGCTTATCATGTTCATCGACCGGCAGTTCATCTTCATCGAACAACTGCAGTCGTTTCTTTGATTCTGATGAAGGGTTTTCACTAGAAGACATGTCTTGATAACAAGAAAGTGAAGGAATTCCCTCCACACTCATCTCGAAGTCAGGAACTGTACCAGTCTTTGAAACAGAAATCGGTGAATGGATTTGATCCATTTCAAATTCCTTTTCTTGCTCCTCCCTGAGGTTAGCCTCTGATGGGTGAACATGTTGAATTTGAGCCACGACTACGTAACCTGGCTCCTCTGCTGTGGATGAAATTACATCATTGGAAGGCGTATGCTGGTATGTCAAAGCCATTGAAGACAACTCCTCGCCCTTATCATGGTGACCATCAACATCAAGATTAAAATCGAAGTTCGACAAATGCATTTGATCGCACTGAGTCTGGATGAGCTCATCTTGCTCAAACGTAGTGTCTTCCTTTTCAACTACATGCCTAGTCACCGTTTCAGCTTCCACGGATTCATCAGGGTGCATTTGATGTTCTTGTTCTTCAGGTGAAGAATCCTCAACTTCACCCATTCCTTTGTCAACAGCAAGAGTAATCTCTGCATCGACGCTCAACAAGTCCACTGGGTTCTGGAAAGAGCTTTCTTCCTTATTTGGCACATCTTCGTCTAAGCTCTTGTCCGAAGATGAGCATGCCCCTCTTGAAACATATTCAACAACAGATTCATGAACCGTTGATACATTATGATCAGCAGAAGTGGAAGAAACCCCTGTTGAACCATTAAAAGTAACATCATGCTCACTAATCTCTAGCAGATCCCGTGCCTTCTGTTCATTTATATTAAGTAAATCTGAGGAGCAGGCATGAATCTCTTGAACACTAGAAGTATCCTGCTCAGCCATCTCACAATGTGCTTCACATTTCTTATCAACAGATTCAACCAACATTGAGGGTGAACCCATTTCAGATATCTCAGCTCGTATGTCAGAAGAGACAGATGAAACTGATAGAAACATCTCAACTGATGGAGGATGAAAACTAGAATAAAAAATGGGATCCGTGTGTTGATTATCACTCACTACCCCACTTGTAAAATGGAACTCTGATTCCTCAAATGATGGTTGTTTAGAAATGCCAGATTCATTAAGTTCATGATCTCTGGGTTCAAAACCTGCAAATTTGTCTCCCCTGCTATCTGATATCTTTTCATCGATTTCTGATAACGATGACAAACTTGATCTACTGCTATCCTCCTCCTCATCTGGCTCGGTTCTGGGATGAATTTCGGTTGCATTGAATTCCACATGAGTAATTGCTGGTGCTCCATCTCCCAATGTTACCTCAACCACATCATGAGGAATAGAGAGAACATCTCTATTCTCAACTTGGTCTACATCCAAAGACTCAAGTTCGTCAGAAGAATGACTCTCTTGTTCATCATCGCCAAAACGGTGATCTTCATTCAATATCAGTTCAGTTTCTCGAGAAGCATCTTTCGTATTTGGCTTGTTGTCCTCCTCATCCACAACTGAACTCACTGATTCAGAATCAGGAACAGAGCTCAACTTTGACTCGCTAACTTCACTTGACTGCCTCTGGAATAAGGAAGGGCTAGCTCCTTCCGATAGTAATTGCCCTGGAACAAAATAAGGTTTCCACTTAAGCTCTTGCTGAGGAACACCTAAAGAAGATGATCCAACATTAAAGCTTTCATGTCTGCAGAAGAAGGCATCTCTTCGGGAAACAGTTCCCCTTTGATTAAAATCTGAAAACTCTTCATGGAAACTGTCTGCTTTAAGATCAGGTTTTTCCTCGCTTGAGTCATAAGGAATATCAAAAGGGTTTCTTCGGGGCTGCCAATTGGATGGAGCTGACCCAGGGATGGGAGGTAACCCGAGGTCACCATAGGAATCATATGGAAGGTCAAAAGGGTTACCTCTTGAGGTTGAAATCGGTGCTAAGTTTAGTGGACTATCACCACTATCAAAGTCTATTAGATTCGTCTCGGCCATCAATCTAATACTTTTCTGGGCTCTTCTCCTTGCCATAAGTTTATCCAATTGTAGGTTTCTTTCAACTTCTAAAGTCCCTAAATCCATGAGATTCTTCTGATCATCCTCTGTCCATTTAATCGCAGATTTACTTTCATCCTCTTTATCTCCCTTTGCTCCTTCTCCCACCTCATCATTATCTCCCTCTCCCTCATTTTCTAATTCATCTGACTCAACACTTTCATCATTACTACTACCACAAGAACTCTCTGAGGCAGCGTCCGAACCATCACGAGACAAATGGGCAGGCTGTGTAGCTTCTGAGCCCAAAAGTGGATGCAACTCGTCAAGCATCAGATTTATATCTGCCAGTGAAGCATCAGGAGAAGAACTCTCAGCACCGTCAGAACCAGAATCCGAAGATTCACCATTGTCGTCATCTTCATCATCATCGTCCTTACCACCATCACCAGCATCATCATCACCCGCAACACATTGCCAAGAAAAGACCAGAGAAGAATCCAGTTCATCACCCCTTGGATGATCAATAACATCGTATGTGAGTTTACCATCAACCACTTCGAGATTCCTATCTCCTACTTCATCTGCCAAAAGATGTTGACTCTCCTCAGCCTCCCTCATGCTTGACACCCGTCCACTCTCTAGCATCTCGTCCCGAATTTCATTTATCTTCTCCAACAAAGAATGACTCAACAATCCCTCAACTTCATCAATCACCCCATTCTCACAATGAATATCCCTAGAATCCAAATCATCATTGACTAATGGTGTATAAAGAACCGGACCATCACCTTCCCCAACTCCATTGACCTCATTATTGACTAAAGTAACTTTCTCATCGGCATTCTCTACTATATCCCACCCATTCACTACATGTCTTTGTACAACAAAACCATCATCAGTAAAATCTCTTTTGACAACAGTGTCATCCTCAGCAGCCCTAGTTTTCAATGGTGAAACTTCAGGAGTAACATTCTCTTCTTCTTCTTCGTACATTTCGGGTATGTTTGGTGACCCGAAACTCAAAAGGGTACCAAGCAAGACAGCAGTGCAAACCAAAACAGGAGATGCAGTAACGAAAAAGGAAAACAACAATGGAAATGATCTATACAAAAATATTAAAAAGAAAACCGAACCAACCAAAAATGGATGATTACAAACAAAACTACGGCATATTTTAACTGATATCAACATATATTTCCTAACTTTAACTCCAAAGTCCATTCTTTCAAGCCCCATCTATCTCTCTCTCTATATAAATTTATTTCTTCTCAATTTCCAATCTGTTTAAAAAGAAAAGAAAAGAAAAACAAATTAAAAACATAGCAAACCATCGGATCCAAAGGAAGCAAATTCATTAAAAAGTTAAGTGTGAACTCACCTTAGCGCTAGAATTAAATGAAACAAAGAGCAACTAAATGAAGATCAACCCAATAGCTGAAAAAAACAACAATTAAGAGTTTTTTTAGTAGTGAAATTGCTAAAAAAAGAGATAAAATTAAAGCAAAACTGAAAGTTTCTCAATGGCATAAAAAACTAAAACTTTCAAGAAAGATATAACAAACCCAACCTGGAAAAAAACTCAGAAAACCAAGTCTTTGAAGCTTAAGAAATTGAAACCAATGAGATTTTCAAAATGGGTTAAACACAAAGCGATCAGTAGCTAAAAATAAAGAAAAAAATGAAATCCTCTGGGGGGTTTCAGCTTTTCGTGCTCTGATTTTTTCACTTTCTTCCTGGCTTACTTTTCGATGCCTTAGCAAAACAGCGAAGAAGTTGTTGGCAAGGGTTTGATTCACTTTTTCTGAAATTCAATTGTTTTTTTTTTTTTTTTGAAAAAAAATGGTGGATTGGGGTGGCACGAAAAGAAGAGAAAGATAGAAAAAAGAAAGTTCTAATTATATTATTCTTTTGTTTTTCTTCTCTTTTTACTACTACTGCACACTGCACACTGCACACTGCACAGTTAGGGTCTTTTCCCATTGATTACATAAAATAATAGTATTTTAGTCCTTGTCAAATATCAATTATTTAATATAAATCCTTTTGAAGTTATTTTATTTTATTTTAACCCCTCCAAAACGTTAAAACTTTTAATTTGCCTAGTATCAATTTCCTGGCTTCACCCATGTCTTTAGCTTTAATTTTTAAAAATAATTGTCTTTGTTGTCAGATGACAGATGCTGTACTTTTTAAATTTATATTATATATTTTTAATATGCTGTAAAAGAACCTGGTAAGCCTTTAGTTATATTGACAAAAGTACAAACATTCAACCGACCATGTGTAATGTATTATTTTCATTCTGCAAAATAGAATATACTAATTAATTTATTTATTTCCGATTCCGGCCTAGCCAAAGTAGTCTGACATGTTTATTTTTTTTATATCTTGATTAATAAGAAAAATAAAATATTGACTTATTCTTATGTAGGAGCATATGTAAAACCAAATTTTGCCTTGAAATCCTTTTCCCTTATTTGCTTCGTTTTAATTTTAAATATCATTTTCATTATTTAGGACAATTTTGAAATTTTAAAAAATATTTTTATATTAATATTTAAATTAAAATAAAAATATTTTAGAATTGAATAAAAATCAGAAAGATTTATCTTTGAACACGACTATCTATACAAAATAAAGTAATCCTTTTAATCTAATAGTACGTTTGGTTCACATAATGTAATATTATCGGTGAGAATAAAATTATTGAGAATGTTGTATTTTGTGTTTGGTTCGTTTAGTAGAAATGTAAGATTATAATGTTTGGTTAAAGGAATAAAAGATTATTAAAATGTATATTTTATCAAATTCTCCTTATTATATATTTGTTTTTAACAAGTTAAATTCTACTATATTATTACTATAATTAATTTATATATATATATATTTTAAAACTTTTAAATTCATAAAATTTATATAATTTTTTTACAAATTTGAAAAGATAAATAGGTTTAATGAAAGGGTCAAATTTTATTTTAACAAATAAACTTCATATAAAATTCTAATTATGGATTTTTTTTGTAAATCTAAAATAGTTTAATGATAAATTTGTAATTTAACCTTCGTAGAAATTATTTTATTCAACGACAAAAGAAGAATATTTTTGAAGAAAAAAATTAAGGACATTTTAGTCCAAAACGCCTGGAATGTAACATTACCTAAGGGAAGAGGGGTGTCTACATTTCCGGTAATATACTCCCAAAATACCATTGTTGGGAATAACTTATTACCGAGGCTGAGAATATTGGCCAACAAAACGAGGGAATGACATTTCATTCTCCCGGTAGTGTCATGAACTAAACGCCCCTAAATGGGTTACATATTTCGTCTAGTCTTTCTCACCGAATATTAATTTGTTAAATTAAAAACTATTGTAAAAACTTAATTTTGATGAATGAAATGATTTTTTTATAAATTTTAATAGTAGAAAATTTAAAAATTAATATAATTTAATTTTAAAATTAATCTGATAATTAATAATACTACATTAAAAGATTATTTTTATTCGATTATCGTTTTCTTTCATCGTTGTTTTTATTATTATGTGATTTCTTAGATTAAAAAATCATTAAGCTATTTTAAAAAAAAAAAATTCTCGTTCTTTCTCTCGATTCAAATCTTCTAATATCCCAAATTTCGACCAAAACTAAAATCAATTTTTTTTTCATTAATCATCGTCAATCATATGAAAATAAACTATATTAATCTTCTTATTGGACAGATCTTTTACACCATTGGATTTAACCAACGATCGTACCATTCATAAAAGAAGTTAACTATTTTGGTGGTTGTAATGACGGTAATGAAAATAAATGAAAAGTTTAATAACGATACTACAAGTTTAAAAAATTCAATGACTTCAATACAACACATCTAAAATGGAAACCATGAAATATCAAATAAATATCAGTAAAACACTTAATAAACAATACAAATATAAATAAAACAGATATTAAAAATGAGACTATATTAAATACTCGTAATTTTTTGTAGTATATATTTAATCTCTGCATGATGCAGATTTCTTAACGGCTAAACATAATAGATATAATAAAAATATTTCAAGTATAATTTAGGTTTTAAATGTTGGAGTATTCAATGAACGACCCAATTTGTACGTTCGGTAGTTAATACTGTTGTTTAATAGTTGATATTTTTATATAAAATTTCTCTAATAGACTTTTAAATTTGGACTAATAACTACAATATAATAATTATATTAATTTTTTAAAAGAGATTCAAACTTTAAATAAACTTAATTTGAAAGTTCAAGCTCATCTGATGCAGTTAATCCGTTGGTTACATTGAAAGATTGAAGCCAAGCTCACTATCTGCATATGAAATTTGATTGCTCAAAATGTTAAAAGAGTAATGAAATCAACTCGAAACTGGATTGAAACGTACCGCTCAAAAAACTCGAAACCGGATTGAATCTTTCCGTCAACTTGCTTGTTGTACTTGTTCCTCAACGGCTGATAATCTGCCTTCATCCGAAGCGATAGAATCATGATCTAAATCCGTCGACTCCTGCTGTGATTCTGACAAAATTGATGAAGGATAAGAATATGGCGATGAACAACCGGAGCAAACGGAATTCAACCTTTTGATGTCATCCTCCTTCATCTGTTGAGCATATGCTTCGTAATTGAACCCAGCTGCGTTTCTCCCACCAAATGCAACATCCAGGATATTCAAATCGAAAATTTCTTCGACTACTGTCATGCTCTTTGGATCATCAGAGTAGACAAATTTTATTTTCCTGTATGTCTTGGGCTCAAGGAATGGCTTTACCATCTGTCACCGAGTTTCCATTAAAACCACATTAATATCATGTAAACAAATGAGCATCTCAAAGAGAAAAAAAAAAAAAAAGGAACCATCAAGACCGGGAAAAAGAATTGTATGACAGACAAACAGAATACAAGTTTCTTTCTACTCGGGGACTCGGGTGTAAATGATGGATATGAGGATGTGTCCAACATGGATATGATACGACTTTTTAATTTTTTTTCAATGTATTTCAAGAATCTTCAAGAAAAAGAAAAAGATGAGATAGAACCACATGGCATCTAATTGCCTTTTCTCAATTTAACACAACAAAGGGATTACTAATTACACCGCTATCTCATATGTATGGTCTAGCTTAGGGGTATAATCGAACTGATCCGAGTTCCATCTATAAAAATATCGACTTGAAATTCAAAGCTCAAAACTTGGCTTGAGCTCAATCGAGTTTCACTTTGAAAGTTTGATCTCAATTTGAGATAAAGGTTGAAGTGTTCAAGCTTTCTTGATTAGTCTCGTTTAGATTCCCATGCTTGACTTCAAACTCGAAAATTCGAGTTTGAACTGAAAATTCTCAATACTGATTTAAAAAGAAAAAGATCAACCAGGCTAGTGAGCTAGTCGAGTTGATCATTATGGTACTGAAATTCAGTTCGTTCGACAGCTCGATATTGATTGGACAATAACTGAGTCAAATTCAAATACCCGATGATGAGCTTGCTAGTGTCCATATCATTTGAAAGATAATTTTAAAACTATCGAAAATGCATATTTTGATATAAAAACAACAAAGTTTTGGAATTTTTTGATCTAAATGAGTTTTGAAATGAAGAATAGGAAAGTAATAACATACCGTCCAGAAAGATTCAAATATTTTTGGTGGATTATAGAGGATTCCTATGCTCAGTCTTTCTGGATAGTGTTCCTGCAAGATATTAGCAGTTTCCTTTGTCACCTTAACAGATATGCTTGCCATTGTCCACCCTTGGAAATAGACAAGCCAAACCATCTGCTCTTGATCTTGGGCCATATTCATTATAGCATTTTCTATGCAATAAACCAAGTATTTGATCTGCTCCGTTGGTGAGTTTGTATTCTGAAAAGGGAGAACTTGTCCGAATTCATGATAATTATCACGATAAAAAAAAAAAACTAGAATAGCAACGTATGAAAAGCCAGATAATTCATTGAGCTAATACCTGGAGACCGGGTCTCATGACAAGAACAGGCCTCCCAAGTTTGTCACAGTAATTAGCTCTGTATATTTTCCCTGTCTCGGCTTCTTTAGCAATATCTTCCTACAGGCAAAAGAAAATGTTAGTCTCAGCAAGATACTGATGTATGCCAAACTTCACACTAAGAGGGAAAGTATGGCTAACAATAAGCTCAATCTCACAGGCAGCTGTTAATTATAGCTATCAAGAGATCCATTTCTGAAACGACTCTAATTTCAACCAGCAGACTGAGGCAGTTGAACAGATCAAGTAAACCTGTTTAATCTCTAACAATAACTTAGCAATGTGCGGTATTGTGTGACTTTGCAGATCTTTAAGAAATCCAAAATTTATTGCAAAAATGTTCTGTAAGAAAGAATAGGATACGAACCCATCGGATTGCCTCTGGCTTGTATTGAAGTCTCCAATTCAACGTTTCTTTTAACATTTTGCTTGCTTTTTTTGTACTCCAGTTCCTTGCTCTGAGGAATCTTAGTATTGATGCTTCCGAATAAAGTTATGGTATTTTGTCAGCTACTGGGCCGATTAGTTTCCTAACATCATCAATCTGAAGTGAAGTGAAGGGCATCAATTAGTTGGAGACTATTCAGTTCAATTAAAATTTTGCAATCAACAATTTCGGTGTGAATAAAGTATAATATAATATAATATAAATTGTGTTATTTTAATACGGGTTCGAATAAGAAACAAAATTATGATCACAGGTAGGGCTGTAAATGAGACGAGACAGATCGCGAGCTACTCGAGATCGACTCGGTCAAGGCTCGATAAATACTCGGATCGAATGAA